AATAGGAAACATCATAATCAATGGAGAAAAGATTGGGGTTGCCAATGATTTCACCTTGCTTGGATCAACAATCAACACCTTTGGTACCAGCAGTCAGAAAATGAGATGTATTACAGTAGAAGAGTCTGCAGTCAGGGACCTCTCCAAATTATTGAGAAGCAATGATGTCAGTTTGAGGACTAAGGCATGCCGTACTCAAGCCGTGGGCTTTTCAATCACTTGAGATGAAAGTGATCATCTGAGAGTTAGAGAATGAATAAGGATGACAAAAGAAAAAGGGACTCCTTTGAGCTGTGATGTTGAAGTAGAATACTGAATATCACATGACTGCCAAAGAGCAAACAAATGTATCTTAGATAAAGTTCAGCCAGAGTACTCCTTGGAGGCAAAGATGATAAATCTTCATGTCACGTACTTTTGGCATGTTGCCAGGAAAGGCTGTTCTTTGGAGAGGGACATCATGCTTGGAAAGATGGAGGGTTGGAAAAAGAGGAAAACTCTCAACCAGGAGAATTGATATAGTAACTGTCATAATGGGCTCCAATGTGTCAGAGATTGTGAGGATGGCACAGGATAGGACAGGGTTCAGATGTGTTGTGCATAGGGCTGCCATAGGTTGTACTAGACTCAACATCATGTAATAACAACAATTGTTTTCTTAGGGTATAATGGATGTTATGGGGGTCTGGCTGTGTGGTCCACAGAGAGATTAACTCCTAAGACAGTACCTCTCTGCCTGTCTCAATCCACCAGAAGCTCCAAATGAGAAAGATGGGCCTTTGATGCATAATGGGGAACCTGTTATGAGTCAGTTCTGACTAAACAACAACGAGACAGAATTCATTGTTGACATATATTTTAGTTTTTAAAAAGTGAATTTTTAGGAAAAAACTTCCAGTAGGAGACTGTAACTAAATCTGTGTGAATGAGTAAAATGACAGTTTTAGAATCTCAGTCATGCTTTCTACAAAGATGGCAGCAAAAACAAAAAAGAAAGCCCCTGACATTCTAAAACTGAAGCCAAAGCAGGCAGTCCTGAAGGGTGTCTACAGCCAAAGAAAAAATATCCACATGTCACCTACCTTCTGGCAGCCTAAGATGCTGAGACTTCGCAGGCAGCCCAAATACCCCTAAAAGAGCACCCCCAGGAGAAACAAGCTTGACCACTATGCTGTCATCAAGTTTCCCCTGACCACTGAGTCAGCCATGAAGAAGATAGAAGATAACAACACAGTTGTGTCTATTGTGGATGTCAACACCAACAAGCACCAAATCAAAACAAGCTGTAAAGAAGCTCTGTGACATTGATATGGCTACACTTTGATTAGGCCTGATGGAGTCAAGATCTATGTTCTACTTGCTCCTGACTATGATGGTTTATATGTTGCCAACAAATTGGGATCATCTAAACTGAGTCTAGCTGGCTAATTCTAAATACAAATTTTTCTCACAGAAAAAAAAAATCTCAGTCATAAATCTGTGACAGTATTGTAGAATTGTTAAGGATGTGAAAGAGATGTTGTGCTAAATTATGAGTAGATTAATTCTGAAAAGATTTAACCATGAAATTTTACTTTTACTATTCTTCAAATTTTAAAATGCATTTGTTAATATATGGCTGAAAAAAAATGATTGTTGTATAATTAAATTATGACATATCAAAGTATCTGAAACATTGTGATTATTCAGTTAACAGTGTTTACTATTATTGTTGTTATAATTTTTTAATCACTTTTTTATGTTTGCTTATTTTTTTTTCATGGTATACTGCTACCATCTGGTGGCTTATCTCTTAAACACTAAAATTTACCATTTTACTAAAATTTACTAGTAGTTATTGTTTGTAACTCATAATGCAGAAATAAATCATTCCTACAATATATATATATTGTTTATAGATATTGAGGGGGGAAGACCAACAACTAACAGAAAAATAGATAAAGGTCCATAATTAGTAATTCTTCAAAACTCAAACTCATTGCTATACACTTATAACTAATTAATAACTGATCCTCTAGTGGGCTTTTTGAGTAGGGAGAAGACCAACAACTAACAGAAAAATAGAGAAAGGTCCATAATTAATAATTCTTCTAAACTCAAACTCATTGCTATACACTTATAACTAATTAATAACTGATCCTCTAGTGGGCTTTTTGAGACTGTGTATTGTGTGGGAAGAGATTATACATCATTTTTCCTTGTAGCTGCTTGTTGTTTATTATTGAGTACCATTGAGTTAAAATGAACTCATAACTGACTTTGCAGTGGGTCTGTGGTAAATCATTTTCTCCCTGAATCAGCTGGTGGATTCTAACTGTATACCTTTGGGTTCACAGTGCAATTCCTTATCACTAGGCTAGAAGCGCTGCCTTTGTTTGGGTTTAGCAGTGCAATTCTCTATGGACCAAATATCAGAGATAATTCCTAGCAGCATGCGTATCCTCAGTCATGAGTAATAATAAAGCTTAGCTCCTAAAAAAATTGTATTATGTTAAAATCCTTTCATGCTAATGATATTTGAATTATATATGAGACTTATGAGTAAATACAGTGTGGATGAGAAAGCAAAGTGATTCAGCTGCCTTGAAAGAGAATACAGCAACATGGACGCATATAACGGATGCATTTTTCCCTTGACCAAGCAAATCATCTAAGTAACCAATCTATAGACACTCATGCCACAGTGAAAAATTACACATAAGCAGTATTTTTCACTGCATTCTAATTTGTAATTAAAAAATTATATCAATAGACCCCAGATAAGATTAATTGATACATTATCGAGGGCAATAGAATTAAGTGTGTTGGTGTCAGTGAGACTGGCTCAGGACAGGGCAGGCTTCTGAGGTGTTGACCAAGTCGCTGTGAGTCTCAGGTGACTCAATGGCACATAATAACATACAATGTTATTCTGCAAAGAACTTTTTACAAGTAGCTATACAGAATAATGGAGAAGAATGCTACATGTTGAGAAGGGGCTAAGTTTTTGGTTTATCTTTCCAGTTCAATCGCAGTGTGCAATTATATACATACTGTGCTGCCTTTTTTTTCAATTTATTTATTTTATTTTTATTATTTTGTGTGTGTGACCATCAAATCAGATCTGACTGGTACAGGAGGAGATTTTTCCTCCTTCTCCAGCAGAGCATCTGGTGGATTCAAACCGCGTGCTTCTAGGATTGCAGTGCAGCTTCTTGCCACTAGGCCACACTGTACTGCTTTTTATAGAAGGAAGTAGTGTGTTGTTGTTGTTGTTGTTATGTGCCATTGAGTCGCTTGCAACACATAGTGACCCTATGTACAATGGCCCTAAACTTTGCTCTGTCCTGTGCCAATTGCACTGTCTCCGATACACCAATCCTGATTACCACAGTAACTAAATCATTCCACCTCAGAGGGGACCTTCCTCTCCTGCACTGTCCCTCCACCTTCCCAAGTATGATGTCCCTCTCCAAGGACCGGTCCCTCCTTAACTTGTCCAAAATATGAAGCCTCAGAATCCTTGCCTCCAAGGAACAGCCTGATTTAACCCTCTCTAGGATGAATCTGTTTGTTTTCTGGGCAGTCCATGGTATATTCAATACTCTTCTCCAGCACCACAGCTCAAAGGCATCAATTCTCCTTCTATCCTCCCTAGTCACTGTTCAACTCTTTGACGCATAACAAGTGGTATACACATACATATTCTTATACATGAACAAATAGTATGCATTTAAAAAAAGAAGAAATGGAAATGTGAATAGAAGCTAAGTAGAGTTAACTATAAGGGAAGAGGAAGAGTATGTTGTTGTTGTTGTTGTTATGTGCCGTCGAGTTGCCTGCAACTCATAGCGACCCTATGTACAACAGCCCTAAACTCCGCTCTGTCCTGTGCCAATCGCACTGTCTCTGACACTCCCATCCCAATTATCCCAGTCACTGAATCAATCCACCTCATAGAGGGCCTTCCTCTCCTGCACTGTCCCTCCACCCTCCCAAGCATGATGTCCCTCTCCAAGGACCGGTCTCTCCTCACAACATGTCCAAAGTATGTTAGACGGAGCCTCAGAATCCTTGCCTCCAAGGAGCCACCCGGTTTAACCCTTTCCAGGATAAATCTGTTTGTTTTCCTAGCAGTCCATGGTATTCTCAAATTTAGAATATGTACAGAGTCAGCTTTGAATCTTGAATTATGTAAATATTACCTATAAAATGTTTACAAGATTTACTTAAAATTGTCAAAATCCTTGTAATTAGTAAAATTAACTTGTCTATGATGCTCAGAGAAATCCAAATTTCTGTTATTCATATTCTGTTGTAGAAGTAGATCATAAATCATTTGATCTTTCATCTGTGATATGATCAAATGCATGTGAATGCACTGTCAGATTATTTCCGTGACATCATTGTAGAGTAGGAAAGAAAACTCAAAGAATTGTCCATTAGCATCTGCCTCTAAAAGCTGCTTAATTAAAATAGTAGATCTTTATTTATAACAATGACACATTATTTGAAAGAGTCTTAAATCTGGTACTACTCAATTGATTCAATAAAATTGTGTCAATATATGCAAAGCCTACTATCATCAAAGACCTAGAAAGTGCATTTTACACCTATCCTTTAATGGTTTATTAGTATACTAACAAGTGTCTTATCTAATAAATTTGTTTATTTTATCTACTATCTTGACAATTTAGAATAACTTCTCAGTCTTTATCGTATAAGTTCAGTACTGATGTGTATTTTCTTAAAATTACAACAATTCTTGAAAGATCAGACAATGGAAGTAAAGCATATTATAAACATGTTGAAGGCTGTTTCTTGTTTTCAGCTTTAACTTTTTCTGATGTAATATTACTTAATTCATATTCATGCACAGATTTAGCTAGATTTCTTTATAAATTTTTTGGATTGTGAGTAAAATCTTGTATAGATATTATTCTTATTAAAGTTCATACTGGCTAAAATGAAAAAAAAAAGAATTACATACTTTATTTTATTTTTACCTTGAAGGGGCAGAGATGACACCAGTAAAACCTGTCAATTCATTTTGTGCACTGAAGGCAGATAATGGCCCATGCAGAGGACTAATTCTAAGATATTTTTTCAATGTTGAAACTCAAAAGTGTGAAGAATTTTTCTATGGAGGATGTGATGGAAATAAGAATCGATTTGAAACTCTGGAAGAATGCAAAGATAAGTGTGAAGCTGGTATGTCTGGGAACATTTATCCTGAGGAGTCAGAGATATTAGTTATAATCATAGACTTTATAATTTTAGTTAGGAAATCAGAAGAAGAATTGCATTGAAAGTACTGAAGAGCAATGACGTCCGTCTGGAGAGTAAGGTGCGCCTGATCCAGGCCATAGTTTTCTCAATTACTTGCTATATGTCAGAAAGCTGGACAATGACTAAGGTTGATAGAAAAAGAATTGATGCTTTTGAGCTGTGATACTGGAGAAGAGTATTGAATATATACCATGGACTGCCAGGAGAACAAACATGTTAGTCCTAGAAAGGGTGAGACCAGGCTGCTTCTTGGAGGCAAGGATTCTGAAGCTTCATTTGACATACTTTGGACATGTTGAAAGGAGGGAGGGACCAGTCCTTGGAGAGGGGCATTGTGTTTGGAAGGGCGGAGGGACAGCACAAGAAAACCCTTGATGAGATGGATTGATTCAGTGACTGTGGTAATGGGGGTAGGTGTGTCAGAGACAATAAGGTTGTCACAGGGTAGAGCAGGTTTCAGAACTATTGTACATAGGATCTCTATGAATTGCAAGTGACTCAACAGCACATACAAAAACAATAACATTATTTTAACATTCTGAGAAATTCCTTTGTTCAGATATTTAGTTCAGATATCCCATAATTGTTCTTCATAGCAGTCATTATATAATTTATTTTTTATATTCTACATAGTGCAAAAGAAAGATAAATTCTTGTCTAAGTACAAATTTTGTATTTGTAATTGAAGGAACATAATTTAGCATCCTCCCAGGTAGTTATGAGATGCTGGAAAAAATTGGCTGTTAATTAGTCTTTCTCATTGCAGAGCTCTCATGTCTGTCCTCTGTCAAGATGATGAATTTGAAAATATCTTTTAAGGTCCCCAACAGCTACTAATTATAAAGAATAAGAACAACATACAATAAAGCAAAGCAAACATGCTTTTGAATAGTAGTGCTGGTGTATTTAACATCCAATGAATTGACAAAAGAACTAACCAATCTGTCTTGCAGGAAGTACATGTCTTGGGAAAAGTGCAGCCAAGGTGTTCCTTGGAGGCAATGATAACAAAACTCTGTCCCTCATACTCTTTGCTAGGAGAGTCTATTCCTTGCAAAGAGACATCAAGCTTAAAAAGATGGGAATCAGAGTAAGAAAGGAAGACTCTCAAGTGTGCCAGAGTTGATGAGGGTGACACACAGTAGGACAGTGTTCAGGTTGTTGTTTAGAGAATTGTTGTGTATTGTACTCAAATTGATGATGATGACACCTAATAATAACACTCTAACTTTATTCCCACACAGTGTTCTCAAGAGCTAGGTGAATTGGACTGGAGTACTGGGGGGCGGGGGTGGGTAATAATTTTTTACTAACACTTGGTGTCTTGATCTTCACAAGATGGACAACTTTGCATTCTCTAATAATGCTTTCCAAAGTAGTTTTTACAAAATAGCCTTGAAAATCATGGCCTTGGCTTAAGGAATGATTTTGATGTGGGAAAAAGAAAATTTCTTTCTCTATGGCTCTGTGAGATGCTTTGCTGTATGGTCTAGAGTAAAGAGAAGAGAATCAATCTGAATGTATATTCTTTTAATAATTTATATTTTTAACCTGCTGTTTTTGTTGTTGTCATCATGTGCTCTCATCTCAAGTCACCTGAGTTCTATACACCATGCTCCTATATATTAGATCAAGCATTCTTTCATGTTGAATTAAAAATTACTGTTAGTCTTCAGAGCCTTGGCTGATTTCCTGATTTGCCTGACTTGTTCAAAGAATTCCCTTTTTTACTTAGCAGCCTACTTATTTTCACCAACTGACTTCTCTTGCCTCAAAACACACACTTTATTTTTTTTTAATTCACATTTATTATATTTCGTCATTGTACACAAGTTATACTTTTCTTGAGAAATTTTAAAAATATAACCCTTATTATATGCAACTGCTCTTTTTTAAAATTTTCTAAAGCATTATTACTGGCTAGCATAAATGTTAGCTCTCTTACACCCATTTCACAGAATCTTTGAAGTTACTAATCTAGTATAAGAACATCTGAGTTTTATATAGTAGAATATTCCTAAGGACAGAGCTGGCATCTAGGAAACTACCAGTAGCTTTTAAAAACTTACTTAAACCAAGAATTATCTAACTGTGAGGGAGTAATTGGAATTTTACTTCTTTCTTCTCCTAATGTTGTTGTTGTTGTTAGGTGCCGTTGAGTCAAACATAACTCATAGTGACCCTATGAACAAAAGATCTGAACCCTGTTCTATCCTCACATTTCCTCACACACGGAAGCCCAGTCATCATGTCAATCCACCTGGTTGAGGGTCTTCTTCTCCTTTGCTGACCCTCCACCCTTCCCAGCATCATGTCCTTCTCCAAGGAATAGCACCTGCTAGCAACATGTCCAAAGTATGTGAGGCAAAGTCTTATCATTCTTGCCTCCAAAGACCACTCTGACTGCATCCTCTGAGACATATCTGTTCATTCTCTTGGACGTCCATGGGATGTTCAGTGCTCTTCAACACCACAGCTGAAAGGCATCAATTCTTTTTCTATCATCCTTATTCATAGTCCAGCTCTCAGATACATAAATAGTAATTAGAACGACTATGGCCTGTATCAGACACACCTTAGTCTTGTAACTGACATCACTACTCCTCAGTAATTTTGGAAACGTCCTTAATTGCAGATTCTCCCAGTGTAAGGCATTTTGTTATAGCCTGACTGCTGGTACCAAGGGTGTTAATGTGGATCAAAGCAAAATCAATTGTTGCCAGTTTCAATTTCCTCTCCATCAATCATGACACAGCCTGTAGGTCCAGTAGTATGAATATTTTCCTGACATTGAGATGCAATCCATAACAAAGGCTACATTCCCTGATCTTCTGCAACAAGCAAGATTGTGTCATTTGCATAATACAGGCTATTGATGTGTCTCCATCCAATCCTGATGCCACACTTCTCCTTATAAAGTCCAGCTTCTTGGATAATTTATTCAGCTTATAGGTGTGGAGAGAGAATACAACCCTTGCACAAAATATAACAAATTTTAAAGCAAACAAGAATAGTAAAAGGTAGTTAAAGACTCTGTTTCTGAGAGAATGGCCCCATGACTTGATCTCTCCAATTGTTCTGAGTCTCTGTATAGAGGCCATTCTAGACCACAGTGAGGGAAACGGAACCCTAGTTCAGTATATAATGAAGGTCTCACTGAACAGAAGAAGTGGAGATGGAATATTAAGGAGGCTGAGGTGACTGAGATGGCTGAGGTTAGTGAAACAATATCCAGGTTAGGGCAACTTTTGGCATGGAAAAATCAGAAATTATCATGGTGACCCTTTGACCTTATCATTGAATAATAAAGTTCTACATGAATTGCCTTGGTTGGGAGAATAATTATCAGGAAACTATCACTGGGGACCAGATTAACCTTAGCTAGAGTAATTATTACTTGAATTTCCTAACTAATCACACAGACATAGAGGACTGTGGTGGCTTAGTGATAAGGATTTGCACTCCCAACCCAAAGGAACACAGTTTAAAACCACAAGTTGCTCCATGGAAGAAAGATGGGAAATCCTTTCCTTTCCAATTTGCTGTTGTTGTTGGAACCAATCCATATCTGAGCCTCCAGCAGGTTTACAGAGGCAGGAAAAAACACAGGAGGATATTGCCTATTTTTCTCCCATGGAGCAGCTGGATTTCAATTGCATGCCTTTCCATTGATAGCAAAATTCCTTACCACTAATACACCAGAGCCTCCCACTAGATGTCCACGATGAGTCAGTTCTGACTCAATGGCTCGTAACAATGACAATCGGCAAACATTATGTATACTACATCTAGTTTTATTCATCCATAAACCAAATAGAATACTGACATAGGCCTCAGCAAGGATAAATTTAAAATACGTTATGCTGAGTGAAATAAATGAGACATGAAAAATCAAATATTATATAATCACACTTACATGAGGTATCTAGAAGTGATAAATATATAACATAATCCTAAGGTAATTTCTAACAGAAATTACTAGAAACTAAGAAAAATGGGGAATGGCTATTTATTGTTTAATGGATACAAAGTTTTTTTTGGGACAATAAAATGTTCTTTACATGAGTAGTGGTGATAGTTAAAATCATTGTGAATATACATATAACCATTAAATTTCACATTAATAATAGAGGAAAATGATAAATTTCTTAATAAGTATATATTACCAATAGTTAGATAAAACTTCATACTCTTAAGATAACCAGCTCATCTACGACTTCTTGCTGAGAGAAACATTGTCTTAAAGGAAGACAGCAATATACAACTTCCAAGAGCATCACATAAAATTACGCATAATGATTTTTCTTTCTCCTTCTAACATTTCTGAGTATTAAAATAAGTCGAAAATTTTTATCCATAGCAAGAATAAAATGCCTCATTTGAAACAGACACAAAGGAGACAAGGAAATAGTTGAAGAGGATTTTAAAACAGCCCGTATGGGCCTTAAATATTTAAAGCACAACATCAAATAACAAGGCAACAGATGGAATTTATATATGAGAACCTAATGGAACGTTCAGGTCTGAATGTTACAATATCTAGAGTAAATTAATCACCAGAGGTAATTCAGTCTACTAGACTATTATTGCTGTTTTTGTTCTGTGCCTTTGAGGTGATTATGGTCCATAGCAATCCCATTACCAACAGATCAGAATTTGTCCTTATCCCTATCCTACAACATCCCATGATCTCCAAGATCTTGATCTCCATGATCTTGTTCAAGCCCGTGATTATGGTCACTGTGCCAGTCCATCTTGTTGAGAGTCTATGTTTCTCTGACCTTCCAACTTTCCCAGCATGATAAATTTTCTAAGCCATTGGCTCTCCTGACAACATGTCCATGGTAAATGAGATCATCGTACCTCTAAGGAACATCCTGGTTGCACTTATTCCAAGATATACTTGTTTGTTCTTTAGATTT